GATTGCACACTATTTTGAGGTATCGTCTAGAGGGGCACTAAATCAAAACCACAACCAGAAAATAAGTCTCAGACTGCTGCGTGACTCCTCCCCTTAGTATATCTCTAGTCCACTTGACATACAACAGGACCTCTGTGTTCTTTAACAAATATACAATGTCATCCCAAACACTGTGCATGCAGTAAAGTTATCACTACCTTGCATGGCTTGCAGTCTAAAGTAGACAGCAAAGGAAACATTTTACAGAAATTTGTAAAGTGACTTAAATCTGACTAACCAAAGAATCAAACCCTGATCTGTTTAGTCCCCATTACAGTGTTGGTCCACAAGACCGGCCACGTTTTCTAAGTGGCGTGTTTGCTGGATAATCTAAAATCCAAATTTTTGGCCAGCTTGGTTCAGTTCTGATGAAAAGTTTGTCAAAGATTGCTGATCATGCCAACCAAATTAGTCCATCTTACAGCACCTTGTATCAGCAGTGTTTCTGAATTGTCCCTGTTTGATACACTCTGTAGATAGCCCTAGAACTGGTGAAGAACTGAACTGTTTTACTTCTTGAGGTCATGATAGGGGCATACAATGGGGTGCGTGGTAGCTTACTGTGGTGCTGTCTGTGACCAAATAAAGGACTTTCAGCATCTTCTATTAACACAATTTATAAAAGTTATTCAAATGGAACATCAAAGATTTGAGCCTGCTTTCCAGCCCTTTTGTTCACTAATCAGTGGTCTGAATGTTCAGCTTCTGCTGTAACACTGGGATTTAACTAATAGTGATTTGGGCAAAAATGGTTTGTTACTAAGCAAGCATAAAACTTGGAGCCAAAAATAAATTTGTTCTCTTCCTTTTATAGGCCTGATGGACACCAGAATAACCTGAGGAGTGCTGCATATGAAGCTCTGATGGAAATAGTAAAAAACAGTGCCAAGGACTGTTACCCTGCTGTCCAGAAGACAACCTTGGTCATCATGGAGAGACTGCAGCAGGTGCTGCAGATGGAGGTGAGTAAAAGAGCAAGTGTTCTGTTGTGATTTAAGGATACAGAGGAACCATAATAGTTATACATTTTGCTTTGTTGTGGTCTGACTTCTGTCTAGCCAAGTGGGTTTTGCTGTTGTTTTTATATAGCAGGTATGTGCTGAAAAGCTTAAAGCTGAATTAATTCTTTCTGGTCCTAGGATGGATGATCATAGCCTGATTTATAGCTGTGCTGCAACAGCAGAGAGCTGTCTAATGATAAAAGAATCTGTTTTGTTTTTTTTTTCTTTCAGTCTCATATCCAGAGTACATCAGACAGAATCCAGTTCAATGATCTTCAGTCTCTTCTTTGTGCTACTCTGCAGGTAAATCACTGTTAGTTACTAACTGTAACTCAGCTGTGAAGATGAACACATTTCTTCACCCAGGGAAACACATTTTGTTGTTTGAATTTGGATGAAATTGACTTCTTACATCCAAGTTAATATGCAGGAAAAGAGTAGTAATAAAGCTTTATGAAAGATGGAGATTTTTACAATTTGTGCCCAATATAAAGAGATTTTCTTAATTTCATGAAACAAAAACATTAACATGGGCACTTTTCCCTCTAAACTGTTTAATTTCCCACCGGCTGTCATGTTGTGGGAAAGACTAAACGACCGCTTTGTAAACACACACTTAAGAAATTCCTAACACCTTTCATTTGCTAGTTTTCAACTTAAGGTTAAAGCTTGGGTCTGTCTCAGACTTTCACTAATAAAAATAGTGTGTCCCCTCAGAATGAAACATTTGGTAAAGAACAGCTCACTTGTTTCCAAACGTTAGCTTATTTCAGTTGCTTGCCTACTCTTATAAAGGCCACTGAAAACTACCTTTTTTTTTTTTCTGAGCCACTCGGATGTCAAAGGATTTCCTCAGATCACACAATCTGATATTGCACCCTTCCAGCAGTTTGTGCTGTAAAAGAAATAGTGTTACTGTGGAGTCATGCCTAGCATATTGGAAGTTCCAATGCACCGCTTCCAAACACTACTGGAGACCTAGATTCAGCATTAATAGTTCCATGCAACAGCCAGAAGATTTAGTGGTCTTATGTATTACCAGATGCATGGTTGATTGCTAATATACATGTAAATAAAAACAGGGTTCCTGAATATACATTTTACTTAAACTTTTTGCCTTCCTGTTACCTGCTAGTAATGGGTTCCCATTCCTGTTAGTCCACTACTGAAGTAATTTAAACCTTTATGCTCAAAAGCAAGTGTTGTGACCTAGGGCTCTCTGAAACTCGGGGTCATTGAACTTTCGAGTTATAATTTATGGAAGCTGATGGTCAGATTTTCTTCCCTCCCCCTCTTCCTTCTCCCTCTTTTTCCTCCAACAGAATTGGCGGGGGGGCTCTATTCTCAGCAGTAGATTAATGATCCCTTTCTATCTACCTTAATTCACCTGCAGAAAATCAAGTTTAGTGCTAGTATCACTGATTGAATTGCCACTTTTTTCTCTCTTTAAGATATACTATCAATTTGAATATCACACTTACTGGAATCTTACATTTATTGTAACTGGGTTAAATATGGGTCATGACTAACCAGAGAACTACAAATGTAATATCAGTATTATATAGACCAGTTTTCTTCTTGGGGCAACTAGTGAAGTTCAGTTACAATTGAGTATCAGAAGTAAACACATCGCTGTCACGGTTACAATGTGAAAAGGGTCTTGTTGAAAGGGCCAGATTTAGACCAGCCAAACTTAATACCAGATCTAAATGAAATGTTCAGAGAATATACAGTGGGGAAGGTAAAATCTGTTTGTTCTACAGCTGAAAAATTTGAGAATAGGAAAAAAATGAATAGCGTTCTACAGTTGCACTGACGAAGCATTTTCAGCAATGGAGCTCAAAGCAATAGTTGTGCTTTTATTAAAGAACAGTATGGATTTGATAAAGTGTTCTGAACTAGTGTGGGAGATAGAAAGGAATAATTTAGCCCAGTGTGTTTGAGGAATCATCTGTTACAATCTCTTTTTTTTTTTTTTTTTTTTT